GAAATTAGCGCTCTACACAAAACACTTGTATCCAACGAAATTGCGCAGTAATTTCCTAATCCTTGACGACTATCAAAAATATTTTTCTAATTCTGACACTCCTAACAAGCTATATAGACAAATTGAAATCTACGAAAAGAAAAGTATTTTTCTCCTGTTTGTCATACTTGTCGATTTTTTCCTATAAGCAGATGAAAATCGTGATGATGGGGCTGTACGTTTCGCTGCTTATACTAGCAAAAACTAGATTCATCTCAATGCACAACAAATAAACAGTTACCTCAATCATACTTTTAACTTCGACTTCTCAACTTAATCGACAATAAATGAATGATGGGTCATACATAGTACACTTTAGACGCATGTGAGTTTCTTTAAAGCTATCTTCAGAGAAATTTTGAATAAAAAAAGCAAACTATTGATGACATTATGGATATAAATTAATCTGAAGCTTCAATAGACTGAATTTATCAGTATATGCTTACTGAGTTCGTCGTGCGTTTGAGATATTCGATATTATATTTTAGTATTCTTTGCTAAACAGTACGATTAATACTATGCGAATTGATTGGGTGGACGCATGTGGCTGTGGATGAATATGGATGTTGATGCTGATGTTTTCCATTCTAAAACTAACATCCATACCCACAACCTCAGCCACTCCATAGCCATCACACAAAACAAAATATCCAATATTTCACGCCGTCTGCATACGACATTTCGCATTATTCATTAGTATTTTCATCAGGAATAGTTTGAAGCATGAAAAAAAGAGAGAGCGAGTATCGGATTGATCGACGACCGTGGTTCCGAAGAACCCAATATTAAGCTTTAGTCTCGTAATATTCAGTTGTTAGCCATCGATCGCGGCTCGCACTTGTCTATTAGCATCTATTTCTTATTCAAGTTGCAATGAATAGAGATTGTGCAATTCGCACACGTACCGTAAAATATCGAGTTTCATTATCCATTATATGTGTTGTGCAATTCAAAAGCGCACATTTTTCTTTCCACTTCTGATTTCTGAGTTTCGTTTCTGTCTGGAGAACATGCTATTCTATTCGGAAATACAAAAGCAGATGCTGTCTTAAACATTTAAAGGGTTAATATCCATCTGTTTCAGCCAATTTCTTGTAAGATTTCATCTTTGCAGGATGCAAATAAAAGGTTGTTTCGTATGAGAAGCAAAAGTAACGCTACACTGGAGCATAAAGAAGCATAGAACAGTTCTATTTCCAAAAATGCCAGTGCCTTACGACTGATTCTAACACTAATGTGTAAGAAACTCTTGCTATTTCTGATAAAGCCTAACAATTTTCTCAACGAACCACGGTGACGATTGGCTTTGCTCCTCAGCGGAAAAATGTAACTCTGCTGTTACTATAAGAGTGAACGATCGAAGAGATTAAAATTACATGTCACCGGAAAGAAACAGTATACGCTATATTCCGGGTGTGGGTGTGGGTGTGGGATGTGTATGAGTTTGTGGTGTGGATGAATGCCAGGATGTCTAATCACTTCATATTTACATCCACATCCAACCCACACACCCATACCCACCCAAGAAGGGAACAGAAGAATTCAGTCCCTTAGATTCAAGTGGATTCAAGCGGATTAAAGTGGATTCATGGATTCATGGATTAATGGATTCTGCTGTTTTCTCCTCACACCCACCCCCCCCCCCCTTTTTCCCCCCCACCCCCCCCCCCCCCCCCCCACACACACACACCCTCACCCACACCCACACCCAAACCAACACCCTCACCTACACCCACACCCATACCCACACCCACACCCACACCCACACCCACACCCACACCCACACCAAAGAAGTAGCATTAATATAATCGACAAACGTCATTGAGAAGAAAAAGAGACATGATAGTAAAACAAAAAACATACTATATAATAAGCAAAATCAATCAGTATGAACTGAAAACGTCAAATAAAAAGTACAGAAATTGAGATAAGAATTTAGGAAGACAAAAATAACGCAGTCGCAAAGAACAAGTTTGAGGAATTGAAAGAATTTTTCTTATTTTATTTTATCTGCAAGATCAGATGGAATAGTTTACCTCGAAATTTATTTCTATCATTTTTAAAAAGCAAAAGTCTTGTATTTCTTTCTATATAAGTCTACCGCAGCGTCTCCTTGATCACCTGCTGCTTTTCTAAGAACTTCTTCTGTTACGAAATCGGTTAGGGTCTCAGCACCTTCCGCAGAATGAATATTCAACCGTTCGCAACGACCTCCTGTTTCATTTGCAATATATTTGAAACTATCTTTTGCATATCTTGTAAGATAGAATGCATGAACAGGTACATTTTTCGATTTTAATTTTTGTAACTCATACACAAAATATGTTGGCTTACCAAATCTAGTCTTCTCCCAATAAGCTTCACCGAAACCTGCTCGCTTTTCGCGGACCTCTGCTTGACTATTTGCAGGAGCATCTCCTATTAAAATTACTTGAGAGATTGAATCAGACGTTTCACTTTCTTTAACTGCATGCCATAAACCAATTTCAATGGCTTCTGCTCCCATGCCACCTTTAGGGCCGACTGTATTCATAAATGCTCTTAAATTATTAGGTTTTGTCTCCCAAGCAGACGCTTGTAAAATTTCATTCTCTCTCGAATTATAATTTCGATATATGACAATCTGCATTTGAAATAAATCGCTAAGATGTTTCTCCTTCAGAATATTAGAAGCACGTTCAAACATAGTACAAACTGTTTCTTTGGCAGCAGATAATAAACTTGACATAGAACCTGTTGCATCCATAAGCAAAACAGTACGCGAAGAACCTGACACGAAACTTGCTCCCTGGTTTTGATTCTTTAAAAATGTTTTCACAGTTTCAATATTTCCTGAAGTCAATGATGACATAAACCGTTTAGAAGCTTCATGTTCCTGTCTGCACTGGTCTATAGAAAGTTCTTTTGCACCACATCGACTCTCATAAAGATCATTACGAGCTTTATTCAGTTTTTTGTAAAGATTAGAACCTATAATATTTGGAAGATCTTCTTCCCAAGTAGATCCAAGAACCCATTCTAACTCTTTATCTAACAAAATCATTCTATATGAACCGCGATCACCTTGTCGTGCTCCTCTTCCCATTATTTGACATTCTTCAGATAATTCCTCCGAGAAAAATGTCTGAAGAACATGAATACCGCCGTTTGCTAAAAGCTGTTGATTTCGACAGATAAAGTCAGTTCCTCGACCAAAGGTTCGTGTTAATAGCGTAGTTCGACCTTCTAATGCAGCGCGTTTAATACATAGTTCTCTATCTTTTGCAGCAACCTTCTCTGTAATAATTTGAACATCATTTTTTATCGACGATAATTCAGAAGAATTGTAAAAATTCATTAATTTTTCATCTGATTCGAAAAAAACTAGAATAGCACGTCCTGCATGGCATACAACGTCAATATCTCCACGTAATGACATGTAATATTCCGATTCCTTGACTACAAGTACATCAGTACTTGAATTAAACATACGATTACTGCTACCGAATACAGACGGAATAAATGTTTTCTTTTGTACATTGTACACTTTTCTTAATATATTCTGTTCAGACGTAGCCAAGGTTTTTAAAGTACCAGTCACACCAGTTATATAAGCAAATTCATGTGGCATTTCAGCATAGGAAAATGTTCCACAATTTACGATAATACCTACATTAGTTTCCAAGCTAACCTTACTGATATTATCTTTCTCATGCTCATGATAATAGGCCCATATTGTACTGTAACCATGGACAACATTATCGACTATCGATTCACCATCGACATAAACAATTCTATCATTTTGTACAATATATGTTGAAGACTGAAAAGATTCTAGAGCAGTCAACATATCTTTTATCGCTTCATCGAAAAGAAAAATCCAATTACTAAAACGATTAGCAAATGCTTTGTATGCAGGTGTATTTTTGACAGCATTCAAATTTCGTATTGTTTTATTGTGCCAGATTATATCCAGCAATGTCTTAATAGTGGAATCTTTAATATCCACTGATGGTGAATACGTTCCACCATAGAATTTTTCGCTTAGAAAAACATCGACTTCATCAATTAACAATACTTTCGGATCTGTGCGTACTGATTTTGCTGCTACATCTATCTTACTTTTATTGTCGACAATCATTTCACGTACTTTATCTCTCACATTACATTGTTCATTCAATAAGTTCTCACACAATCTATTAAAAGTACCATATTCAATACGTTCTTCGATGCCGAGTGCCCTAAACACCGGAGCGAAATCATTTTTATCTCTCATACTCAATACTTCACTGTAACACGAACAATTAACATCAACTCCAATTAATGCAAATACACAAGCAGTCACTGCCATGACAACTGATTTTCCTTCACCGGTTCCTATTTGCACTAAATTATTCAATAAATCATCATATCCTTGATAGCCAATACCAAGAATACGGAAAATAGCAATAACTTGTCCAACATGTGGCATCAATAGATACGCCTGTGCTGCTTCAATGCCACGCATAGCATTGTAATGTTGGGTATTTTTTAGAGTCCATACGGCAAAAATATGCGCCAACAAATCCGAAATCTTTTTCTTAAAAGAATTATTCCAACGAACACTAGTACGATTTTTCTCAACTATTTTTCCCACGATAAGTTTCGTTTCTGAAATTAATATGTCCAGATTTGGCTCGGTGTCAGACATCTGATCAAATAATTCTAAATGACGAGCTAATAGACTGTCATAGGTTTTTCGAAAATTGAGATATTGTGTTCGTAATACGTCCGTAGCAATATTATCTCCGTCTAATTCTCTGAGCATGTACTCAATATCATCTTGTTTTTGTATTTTTTCACGTAGTCTACGTAAATCTTCACCTGCCAAGGATGCATGCTCGGCGATTACTCTAGCACCTATATCTGTTTTTTCTAGAACTATTGGCAATTTCATAAATGCTATTCTGCCCACTTTTATTTTGTAGTTTTTTAGCATTTCATCGATTTCTGCATTAATTTTACTATCAAACATCGATAGATTTTCCGCGAAAAATTTCATTTTTATAATTAGTTCAGCTACTTTTATAACATCCGAACCCGAATTCGCTATTTCTCTAGATAAAGATGCTATTGTTTCAAAAATTTTTTCCTCCGCTTCATCCAACACATGTCGAACATCGAAATCTGATAGAATTACGTGTCTACTAAAGGATGAAAGATGATTGTAATACTTACGAAAGTCATCGGAATCTCGTGGTGATAGATTTGATTTTGATGCTATTTTAAGAAGTTGATCACCTAGTCGTTTAGCTTTTCTTTTGATTTCTTCTTCTAACTTCACGATATCTAATTTGAACGGTAAAAGATCTTTCAATTTTGAATTTATATTTCTCAATGTACTGATCAATATCATCAGATGACTAAAAAATTCTTCACGCTGTCTTTCAAATCGTGTTGTCTCGTCACTAATGAGATCAACATTCAATTGTACTATCAAATTATTTATTTCTCTTTCTAAGTCAATTATCATATTTGCATGCAGGATTACGTTTGTAATACCTTGCAAATATTTTTCCATAGAGGAATGTTGTGAACGCCATTGTCGAATATTTCGTACAAGTACGTCCCATTGCTTAGCTACTATTAAAACTTGACGTAATTCAATAACATTAATCTTACTAATGGCTAGTCGATAGTTTTTAGAATTTTCATCAATATACTCGCACATATTCTGAAATTTTCTGCAACCATTCTGCAGAACAGTGTCTGGTAGAAATGTTTCGTCTTTTCTACCGAGCGTCATAGAAAAATCAATACAAATGATCATATTGTTAAATGCTTTTTCAACAATCTGACACTGTTCTATCGTTGCTATGTTTGTAAGAGTATCGGCGCAATGTGAAAAATGTTTACCTATTAGATCACGAACATTTTTATATATTCCTACTACTTCGGGAATATAAGAATCTGTAGAATCTCTATATAGAATAATTTTCTTCACATTATCAATAGCGGACTGCATATCTTGCCTATTCAATGAAGTTTCTACATCTATTTGATAGTCATAGAGTCTTTTGGAAATTTCTGCACGTAAAATTTCAAAAAGTTCCTGTCTATTTTGTTCTTTATATCTTTGAGCAAATCCAGCGATTTTTTTGATAGTACGATCATCGTCATCAGTAAGTCTGAGAATTTCATCTAAATCACGTCTATGTGTTTTCTCTTCATCCACAAATGAATTACCCAATTCATCGATCTGCAATTTAAATGAATTTTGTAATTCCTCTGGTAAGAAGGATAATGCATTTTTTAACGAACGTATTTTTGCAGGACGTTCGTTCAAAGAAACACTACGTACTTGATCGATAGCTTGACTAAAATTTTGTCGAATTTTTCCCAACATAGAAATGTAAGCTTGATGAAATTGAACATCACCACGTGATGCAGCTATCTTCAATTTCGCTAAAAGATCTTTAGGGGGATTCACGGAATAGTTGTCAATATCGGTGAAATCATCTCGTTTTAAAATCGCAGCAACTATATCATCGAATCGTTTTCTTAGTTCATTAGTCTTCTCGGTAACCAAACTTGATGTATAATGATCTGCTAATTCATGCTGTACCCAACTGAGATTTTCCATGATTTGTTTAGCCTCGTCGAAACTATCGGCATTTATAAAAGCTTCAATTATATCAAGTCCTCGTAAAATAATTCGAGCTAATAGTTCATTGATTTCATTTTCAAATATTCGAACAGAATTTTGAGTTTCACTATCAAGTAACTCCATGATACTAGTTTTATTCACAGCGATTTCAATTTTCTCAATGTTCTCTTTGATTTCTTTTATTTGACTGCGATTATTTTCTCTTTCAATTTTTCCATCTAACCATTGAACAATGCTTCGTGTATTCTTCATCAATAAATTTAATGAGTTCTTTAAGTCATGTTGAATTTGAGCTAGATCTCTCGGATTCAAACTACTAATAGTAATGCCACGTAGTGTCATAGCTACATTTGCATAATCTCGTTTCGATATGTAATCTAACACAATTCTATAGGCTTCTCTAGTTTCTTCATCAACTTTGTTTTGATACTGTCTATATAAACTTTGAAATCCAGAATTTCCAAACACGTCGCCACAAACTTTATCTAAACAACTCAATGTTTGTGCAATGTTTAATTGACCTTTTAAATCTTGACTTCTATTCGAAGCTCTCGATTGCTCCATATTATAACTTAACGTATGATAATACTGAAGAAATCGTTGATACCAATGTGCAAGCTTCTCAGCTCCATTAATGTATTCAAAAACATGTGTATATCTACTAAGACTAGTTAATTCTTGTAATCGCATTTGTAACTCGTGTGAGTATTGTAGAGGATCTCCTTCAACATGAATAGAGCATGCTTGCTGAAAACTTGTATTGATTTCCTTATCTAGAAAATTACTGTATTCACTTATATAATCTTGTAGGATTCGAATGGTATCAGTTGCAATTTCTTTAACAGAAACATGACTCACGTTTTCGCATTTGTTCAGATATACAATTGCGTTATTTGCTGTTGAGACATCTAATCTATCGTTAAAATCATAGTGTTGCTTATTTTTTTCACGTTCAATAATCATTTTCTTTTTCTCTTGAATAGCCCTGTCTAGTAAATAAACAGTCCGAAAGCCTTTCTCTTGTAGAAAAGTCATCTCTTCAGGTGACATAGAAACATGTGTCGTCATTAACGAAAGATATTCTCCTTTTATTGAATGGCCACGTTCTTTTAAATAATCATCATTTTTTAGTGGGGTGATCTCATGATCCAGTGTATTTAAATCGGGATACGCTTGTTTTCGTAGATAGACTCGAGCTGGATGCAAACTGTCGTATTCACGTTTTATTTGCTCGAGTTCTTTCAGTTCCTGTTTTAGTTTATACACTGTTTCATCTTGCAAATTAAAGGTCTTTTGAATATGATCGAACGTTCTCTGTGTAGACCGATAAAACTGTTCGAATACACGGTTTCTACAGGTCTCAAGTTGTGGAATAGTACATTCCAAAACAGTCATCGATTCAATTTTCACAAGAATTTCCTGTGCTATACTAATATTGTCGTGATGCTTCAAAGTTAAATCTAGTTTTATCAAACGATCTTCTAATTGCTGAACGTAGCGCATTAAATCCTCTGTGATACGTTGCATAAGTGTATCATACATTCCTGGATCAATACGATTGATCCATTGTGCATTTTTCAAACGTGACAATGATCGTGCAAAATACATAAAACTAATTGTTCCTGTTTGATTGTCAATGCTAATTAGAAATAGTTCGGCCGTTTTCTGTAACTCTTGCACGTAACCACGTATTTTTTCAACCGTACGAAAATATGTTCCAGCCGTTTTTGACTCAACTTCGGGCATAGTACGTAAAATTTCCATTTGGATAATCAATTTCTCTATGTATTCTAAAGCATTATCTCGATCTTTTTCAAGATATTCCTTAATTCTTTCATTGATCTCATTAAAATATCTAATAAATTTCGCCATGAATGCATCATATATTGCGTTCAAATCTTGAACATTATCTTCTGAGATACGACGTGGTGAATATTCATCTAGCATCCTACTTTTCCTTTTCAACTTTTCCACATATGTAGAAATACGATCTTGAAGAGCAGAATTTTCTTTTGCTGATATCAGTATTGAGAAACAATTTTTCAAAACTTCTATATCATTATCATTCAACTGTATCTTCTCCAAAAGAGGAGCTACTTTTTCTGAAAAACTACTCAAATGTCGCAAGAGTAGTTTTACGATATCGTAATACTTGTCTTCAACATATTCGCCTAAATGATCTTTTAAAATAGATGAAGACTGAGATATCTTGAGAATAGTTTCGGCTACCGCTTGAAAATCATTAACAGAAATGAGTTTCGGCGCAGTTTGTACTAGTTTTTCATATCGTTCTTGAAAATCTTTACAATTTTGATTATATTGTGGTTGAAGTTCTGAAAAGGAATTTTTCAGCAATCGAAGATTATGTAAATGCATTCCGACTAAAGGACTAGTCAAAGGTTCTTCAGTCAAAGCCAGACTTCTTTGCTGAAGTTCAGAATGAATGTTTTGCATAAGTGCTGCTGTTGATATTAGTTTTGATCCTAAATGTTCTCTCAATCCTTGTATGTTTTGAATATATTCAATACAAGTTTTATAGTTGACAATGTCCTCTTCTCTCAGTCCATCGTGACTAGTTAAAGTACGATTTAATTTGTTCATTACTTCTTTCGAATACTCTTCCAAGTTTTTCGATATAAAATCAATAGAATCTTCATAGGCATCTCGAACGGAACTTTTCTTCGTTAAGTCTTTCAACGTCTTTAAACTATTTACGTAATAAATTAAAAGAGTAATATCCTTGTGTTTTAGCGCACAAATAATATTCATCTTGTATCTTTGTACTTGATTCATTACAGTTCGCTGTGTTTCTTCTCTCATCGGATATCGAAAAATTTCACCCGGATTCGAAATACCACGGAGACGCTGTAATTCTCGAATCAAAATTTTTGGATCTCCATGAATAGGATCCAATTTGTAGGCACCGTTCATAGTTTTTTCCATCATATCTGATAATATTTTTATGAAAGCGGTGTCCCATCGTAAAGAAGAATCTTTATCAACTTGCAAAGTCTTAATATTTTTCAATAAATTCGGAATATTAGTTGTCGCAGGATATTTTGTGAATACATAGAAAATAGCGTCAAGTCTATCCTCGATTCCAGGCAGCATACTAATCAACATATGTGCCAATTTCTGAATGCTTCGTCCTTTGTCACCTAAACTCGGATAACTTGATAAAGCAAGTATTTTGACACTCTTACATTTCTGAAAAGCTTCAATAACGGCGGTAGCATTAGCAACATCTACTTCTGGATCCATTGTATCCCAAAAACCTGTCGTATCACATATTGTAATTTCACCAATCTCATTAGGACCGAAAATATCTTTTAATTGTACTGTGATAGGTACCATACAATGAGTTTCAGACTTCTTCTGTGAATTACTAGCCAAATTGTTCAAGTCAGGATTAGTAGTAGATTCAACTACCATAATATGTTCTAGGACTATTTCAGTAGTAACTTGTACTTGAATTTTTTTCATCTTAGAACCTGCGAGAAATTGAGCTGTGGTAGATTTTTCTGTTCCAGTCGCGCCTACTAACAATATGATTTCTTTATCACGCATCAGTGTAGCTGCGTGTTCTGCTTTTCTCAAGAGTCTTTGTATCTGCTTTAAGTTTAGTGGCCTAATTTTTCTTAAGAGTTCTTTTAGAAGATTTACTGCTGATAATATATTGTCACTATGCATACATCTATTAATATCCTGAAGAGTAAGCCTAATCTCATCGGTAAACATGTCTTGCCTTTTCATCTGATCTTGCAGGTGAGTGAACAATCGATTTGCTTCATCTTCGTTTTTTGAATTCGTACAATCTTCAAGTAATCTTCGCTCACAATATTCAAGAAGTTCCATGGCGATTTTCTCAGCGCAGGAAGGCATATTTATCAAATCTTGATCTATAGTCTCAAGATCTTCTTGTTTTTGTTTTTCTTCATTAAGAATTACACATGATTTGAGACTGTCAATCATTTTTGAAAGTTCAAGTAATTCTTTCAATTCGTTTAATTGTTCTCTTTTTCTTTCGGCATCTTTCTTTCTCCAGCTTCTTTCGTATTGTAGAATTTTATTTTCTGCTTCTTGAATTTTTTCGTGTATCATAGTAATATTTTGAACTTTCCATTTTGCTAACCCTTTAGCCAATCTCTGTTCGAGATACTGAAGTTTGGTTTCGTCAGTAGTTGTATCATCTTTTAAAATAGTGGCGATTTTATTTGCGAGTAGTACCAATTCGCTTAAGGTTGTTAAATGTATTCTGTATTTTTCCGTTTTAGATTTGTCCTTACTGTCGTGCTTTTCGATTTTTTTCATTATATCTGCAATTGCATCTGGCAGTTTTCGTGCATCTTCAAGTTCACAGCGTTCTAAACCACTGGTTAACTTCTGGACTAGTTCTAAAAGTATCGGTTTTGTATCTTCTCGTTTTGATGAAGCTGATCTATGAATATAACCATCTTTTGGATCGGTGGTGATTAGATCTATCGCTGCTCTTAATAAATTGTCAATCATTAACTCTGCACTTTTACTTGGATCATCTTCTATTCGTAAATCTCTAGTCTGTAAAATAGCATTTACGTATACGTTAGTAAATTGCATTTGTATTTTGTATGGAATGATATTAGAATGCTTTACAGAATCAATATAATCTGCTCGTTGAATTCGTTCGTCTGTTGCAAATTCTATCAAAATTCCCACCCAATGCGAATTTTCTAAATTGTATGGAATCAGTATAATACGTTTGCCTGTGTGACTTTTCCTTTCTTGCTGTAGACATTCTTCAAATTGATTGTTAATACTGCCATCAATAGCATCTATTACATAGATTGGTTTCGTAATAGGTTCATGGGACTGTTTAAGCAATTGTTCCAATTGATTTTGCAAAATTGCATGAATATTTTTACTATTGTAATGCTGTATTGTCGTAGACTCTGTAAAATCATTCATCGTTGAATAGCTTGACTTTCACGTATCAAAAATATAGTACCGCGTTGATTGTCAACTTGAACACTCTAAATATTTCGAATAAGATAGAACAACATTATCATTACTATTCTTAAGTTCGAGAGTATCATCAAGTGAATAGTATTCACATGTATGTGAGAACATGTCTGACAAGCATTGAAAATTTCTGTATTTAGGGTGAATTTAGGGAGCAGTCATCCTATTCCACAAGGTTGAACATTTCGGAACCAGTTCCACCCTAGGAACCAATTCTCTCAATTCGGGTATCAGCTACAACCTGATTCCCTTCAGTTCCGGAATCGATCGGAATTCCGTGGTGTGGGTGTGGATGTGGATTTTAGTGTGAGTGCAGGTGCGGGTATGGGTATAGTTGTTGGTGTCGGCATGGCTGGACTCGTTGTTCACTATTCTGCATCTGCGCATGACAAGTGAGAAATAGAGAATGATAACTCCATTCCAGAATCATACGGAATTCCTGGAATTGGTGGGAACTCATGGGTAGTGATTCCGGGAATTCCGGAATTGTATTCGAGGTCATAGACGAAAGTCTGGGAGTCAGATGGAATTGATTCCTAGCATGGAACTAGTTCCGCAATGTTTAACATTGCGGAATAGAATCTATTCTCAATATAGGTCGAAACTTTTAAAATATGATGGCTAGAAAAGAGTCTTCTCTGAAGATTTGACTACTTCGGATGAGAATGGATCTGGTGTTGTTGTTTTTTGTTACTTACTTAGTTGACGATCACAATTTCAATATTGATGTGGCAGCTGAACTAGTTGTTTGATTATAATGCGGATGAGTTATTCTCTAAAAACGACAATAATATAAGAGTATGTAATCGTATTTTATCTAGAAGAGAGAAAAAGAAATATAATATGACTCATTTATGGAATGATTAATAAGAATTTGAATGGCAGAATGATGAGTAATCGATCGAACATTGCGAAAGAGAATGGAAAAAAATCAGAAATACCATCAAAAATTTTTTATTCACTTATTTGAAGTAGGAACGAAACACTTTGACAAATATTTGATCACAACCAATGGAATCTTTTCTAATTAAGTTTCTATTGTCCTTTCACAATGCTCGTACTGTTAAGGACACAGAAGATCTTTAAGAAGAAAATGGTAGGAAGAAAAGAATTCACACAGGCAATATTTCAAACTCGCAGTTCTACAAAAATCTTATACGAGTTGCAAACGCAAAGACTACTACTGTATGAGTTTCAATTATTTGTCTTATTTTCTTTTTTCGAAAAGCACGTGCTAGTGCAACAGGGGAAGTATATCTTTAGCATATGGCAAGATGTTTTACCTACAACAACGCAAATATTACCAAAGCAAACACATTACTCCTAATATCATATGTCTGAAAAAGATAAGGAACAAACGAACAATACTATTATCAGTTGTCTCCCTTCAACATATCCCCTGTTGCACT